ACTTTATTAGGGAGTATTTGGCATGAATTTATTATCTTGAATTAAGATACATATGTCAACTCATTAAATCAACTTTGTTGCAAAACTTACCTGCGAAAGTTCGGAACTTGGTGGCACTAATTTTTTTTATTTTTTTATAGGAACTAGTAAATTGGTCCGAACTGGTTCAAATCATAGAATTTGGTTTGGTTTTTTCAGAAGATGGGTTGTTTCTGATTTTAAAATAATCAAGAATTGTTGACCATGGTTGAACACCCTCGTTTCTTCAACTTTGTTTTCCCTAGCTTTTGTTTCAAGAAGACAAACTTCGTATGGTCTAAACTGGATGCGCAAGTCCTTTAATAGTTGAATTGTCACGGTAGACCCCAACCCATTCCAATTTGTTGTTTTGAGAAAATTAGTTCTGTTGCGTACTTAAAAGAGTTCATGACACGTGGCCTGTATTAGGCCTAATTTGGCTATCCCAAATCCAACCTTAAACATCGTTTGTATGGGCTGAAATTTGGAGGGGGGGTGGACCATCCTCAACCACAAAATACTCTTCGACAATAGAAGTCTGCTAAAAGCTTGCCAACCAACTTCCTAATTTTTGATCCTCGCTTGGAAGTTTTCCCAATTTGCTAATCTGAGAGAAAACCAATTGCATTGCTATGCAACACATATAGCTCTCACCACTTTTCTCGGTTAGAAATTGCGCCACCTTGGATTGTGTGCTGTGAGCCTCTTGTACAAGTCTACTACTTGCTGCTTAATTTGGTGCACTATTTTGACACATTTTGCTGCAATTTCCTCCTCCATTACCTGCCTTGCCTGCAAAACCTGACCCAGGTAAAAGGCTTCCTTCTTTGTTGGATTGACATTTTTGCTTTTGAATGCCATAAAATCGACCAGGATTTACTCATAGTTAGGGTCAGTATCCCTCAGAACTATCATCTCTCATGGCCAATTCTGCTGCACAGATGGCACAAATCTGATAGCCTTGCCATAGGTCATCAAGGGTTTTTCTGGCGAGTGAGAGAGTCCTTCAGGTAGGGTTCATTTAAATTTATCATTAGTCTGACTCAGGGAGTTTCTATCAATAAAACTCTCATGAGAATCATATTTCCACCCGTGCAACCTCTCCAATGAGTTGTCGGATCTTCACACTGTTTGTAGTTTTATATTACCTTTCGGCAAACCATGTATTTATAACACAAACCGTGTGATTCGAGCTGCAAGTTAAAAATTAGGCCGATCACACTTTCCCATTAAAATTATATATTAAGTTATATGTTATTATTACATTCAGAGCAATTAAAATAGAATTTATTGTGCCAATGATACATAATTTTTTAAATTAATTACACTCGCCTCTTTGAGGTTTAAAAAAATACAGCAAGTCTTATAATTTTGACATAATTTCTTTTTTAGTAAGGCTAAATCAATCAGAACTAAGATGAAAGAATAGAAAATAAAAAGATTTTTTTTTTTTTTTTTTTTAGATAGTGAAATGAAAGAGATTATAAGATTAAAAAAACAACCTTGTGGTGGCTTGATTTGCAATCCAAGTTCATGCACGTTGAGATTAAGGGCTTGTACCACACGTGAGGGGAGGAGAACAGGAGAGCAACCTGAAAATTGGATGAATTGAAAAACATTATTTAAAAAAATGGTTATTGATATGAAGCTAAATACAACAAAATAAATATATATAAAAAAAAAATACTACACTTTTGGACAATATATTATTTTAGCACAATATATACTTTAATGCATTGTTATAGCAGCGTATAGTAATAATTTTATTATGATAAAATAGCACAAAAAATATTACACGGCTACTAAAGATACTTTAAGATTTATAACTTCAATTTGATATTCATTTTAGTAGTTTTGAAATACCATGTGGATGGCGAAACTTGACACACTTTGATCTATTGTATAAGAAAAATTTATTAGATGTGAATAGCCTATCAGGTAGCAATGCCATATGCATATGCAGGGTGGCCCAATACTCCTAGACCCTTAGGTGAAATTTCAAATGAGACTTTTTAAATATTAATTTAAATAATATTTATAAATTTTTTGTATTTTTTGTATTCTAACATTTATTTTCCTTCTAAATCTATTTTAGTAAGAAAAAATGGGATTTACTATTTTGCTAGACAATGAGGAATTTTTTTTTTGTTTGGCTTTTACCTAAGGTTTTTATTTTATTTTATTTTTTTACTGGGCATTTTCGACAAAAAATGTTTTCTTACTTGGACCCATGAATAAGTAGAGATTTTTATTTTGTTACGCCATTGGAAAAAATTTCTTTATTTATTTTTGGGTTATTGAAGAAAGAGCTTTTCTTAATCCTTTAGATATGATTTTTTATGTAGTAAGGAATTTTTTTCCTTAAACGGAGCCTTTTAGCAAATATCAAAAAGAAAATAAAATTTTGGAACCCTTTAAAAAATATGGACTTTAGGCAAGCGCCTCAATTCCCTAGGGGAATGGGCTAAAGGCCATTTGATACTTCAAACAAATCCACTCCTATGTTATCAACACAAAAAGCATTGAACCAATCAAAATTGAAAAAAGTAGTAATGTTTTGTTTAGTTTTTAAAATTTTATTTTAAAAAATTAAAAATTAGTTTCATAAAAAATAAATAAAAGTTATTTTTATATAGTTTATTATTTTGGAAGGTAGAAATAATTTTTAAAAATCTAAAAATATATTTTGATGTTTATTTTTGTGAAACTAATTTCTTTTTCTTTTCTTTTTTTATTTCAGAAAATTGTTTGAGAAAACCAAACCAAACACTCCCCCGTCTCAAATACCTGGCTTTTTGGTAGGGTGGAATGGAGAGCCAGCTTTGCGGGGAAGGAAAACGCCAGTGCCGCATGATCTTGTTTGGGCAGAAGAAGAAGAATCTAGAAACACTGCTTGCATTCCATTTCCAGCTCCCCAATTTCTTGGATTTCTTGCTCTGTGATTTGGTTTCCTCATGCTACACTTCGCTGGCTGTTTATACAAACATAACATGATCCATTTAATACAACAGTGTTATTTACTATCTGTTGAAGTTGATTACTAGTATAACCTTCTTTAATTAGCTTAGCCATTAAAGCTAGCAATAATTCATGTGTCAATGACGGACACCAATGCTCCGTTTGTTAAGGGGAAAAATATTTTCTACGATTTTTTTTTAAAATATGTTTTTTGGACCATGTTCTAGTGATGGTGGTGATGATAATGAAAATAATGGATGTAGGTGATGATGGTAGAGTTTTTAAGTTTTTTATTTATTATATTATTTTGAAGTTTTATCATCAAAATAAAGATGATTGAAGCAAGTACCGGTAGTAGTGGTTCTGCAGCTAAGTTCAGACGACCACCATTTTGTTGGTGCCTCTGACTTCTCAAATCTTCCTGCAGATTAAATTTAAAAAAAACAAAAAAAATACATTATAAAAAATGTTATTACTGCAATAATCAAATCAGAGTGCTATGTATATCCAAAAAAATTTAATTTTTTTTTTTAAGTGAGAAAGCAAAGAGCAAAACACATATAGCACTTTGCAAACTATTAATTAAGAATTTTTGTCAAATTATATATAAGTACACCTGTTAGGTAGGAAAATATAGAAGTCCACGAACATGAAACAATAACAAACAGCCCTTATGTTGTAACCACTTTTTTTTTTTTTTTTTTTTTTGTGTGTGAAGAATTCACAAAAATTTTAAAAACTAAGCTTGTATGCCATTTATGATTTTCTTTTGAAAAATGTTAATAATATCACACACTTCAATGTATTTTTCTGGAAATTAGAAACCTACCTGGATCATTCAAGTTAGAAGTGGACACGGGCAAAAATTCTAAATGCACATGATGCGATTGTAGAATAAGATACAATTATCTCATATTTGATTTTGTTTCAGATTCTATACATATAAAATAGCTTTTATTGTTATCAGCATATACATATCGATACTGTCAATATGGTAATATATCAAACAAAATTAAATATATTGTTAAATATCAGTGTCGAAAGTTTAAAATCACAATAAGTATTGCTCAACATGGTATGTATTGGCCGATATTTAAAACTTATAGAAAAGAAGTTGAAAATGAAGAAAGAGCGTACCTTGAAATGGCATGCCACATGTGTTGGAAGCCAGGACATTCCTTCTTCAAAACCAACTTCAAACCCATCTTCAGCCATTGAAGTACTTTCTCCAACTTTGTAGAGAGAGCGAGAGAGAGAGGAGTCTCTGTGTTATTTCTTCTTGTTGTAGAAATGGGGATGATAAGAGAGGGTGTCGAGTTCCAACTTCAAACCTGCAACATAACTAATTATATAGTTACGTGGAGAGTTAGGATGATGCTTGTATATTGACCTTGATCTTTTACAATAATTACGCAATTTGGATTTGATGAGTTTGATAAACAAAGCATCCAACCAACGTACATGTCACTTTCATCATTCAGTTCTTGTTGAAGAATTGGTATATATGGCCGGTTATTATCATTAATTTTTAAATAATTATTTTAAAACAAGTAAACCAATTATATAACGATCCATGTAGGTAAGTGATACAGATATATAATATTTTTGAATTTTTTTTGGATATATTGGAAACCGCTATATTATATTTATGAAGTTGAGAAATTGCTAAACATTATCGATTTTTATCATTATTTTGTATCACCACGTGACGGGGCTAAATATGAAATGGGTCGGGTCCAAGCCTTGGGCCGGCCCAATCCACTGAAGTTCGAATCCAAGTGGGCTGGTTGAGTATATGGCAAACCAATTGAGCCCAACTTCATGATCAACAGTCCACCCAGGTTCTCAAGCACTTAGGCCCAACCCACAATGGAAAGGCTAGTCCAGCCGTGGTGCTGGGCTGGGCCGAGCTGCGAGACTGAACCTATAGGGCGAGCAGAAAATGGGCCGAGCCCATACAAAGATATCCGAATGGATCAGCCCATCTCCATGAATGATCCTATAAAAGGCCAAGACAAGGCATAATGATGCCGAGCTGAGGCACAGTGGTACCGAGCTGAGGAAACCTCGTAAGGAAACGTGGAAGTTGTGAATGTGTGCATGTGCAAGTTGCCACCTCAGCTGGTCCCCTATACCTAGAATCACGGAAGTTGTTGAATCAAAGGAATGTGGTTTGTTATCAGCATGACTACAATGAGTATATGCATTCAATGACAACTACCAGGTGATCCCCCACCTTGAGCAATGCTAAAAGGACACCTGGCAGCATCCAAACTCCATGAACCCACCTTGAGAAGCAAGCAAGGAACACTATATATACAACATGAACTTCACATTGAAGGTAACTGAACTATTCCAAGCAAACTCACACATAGAGATAGATTCAACTCTATATGCACTTCTTCTCCGATCACTAATTCCCACACCGGAGGGGTTATCTGGCCAACCCCGGCCGGGCAGCTCTAACGGTGCTTCTTGTGGTAGAAACCTCAAGTCCCTAGATAGTCCAACCGAGTGCGGAGCCCCGATCCACTTTCATCTAGTGCGGAATCTGATACGCACAATTGGTGCGGTGAACGTGGATCACTTCATCTCTGAGCTCTGCACTCAGTTCCGGCGATAGGGATTGAGGACATTCCGCCTTCGACACATACTCCACAGACGGAGAAAACGAAGGACAAAGGTTTGGCACTCCCAACAGTCCCAGAGGAACAAACTAGAAACAATAATCGAACCCCCGAATCGGTCGAGCACCGACTACCCTTCGTTGGAGGTTCTTCTCATCACTTTCTTCTGGAAAAGGATTATAGAGATCGAATTATAGACTCCATAGGGATGGAGATACAGGAGTTGAAAGCCGAAATTAAAAGGGTGCTGGGTGATCCGACGGAAAAGAAGACAGAAGCGAAGCCCTCTCGTTTGCGACGGAGGAGCTCATCCAAAGAGCCACCAGTGAAGAAGTTCCCCAGGAATGAGTCTGGGCAACAAAGCCAGCCTATCCCAGTACAGAGTGAGGCAGCAAGCAGTCACACCCGTGGGTCACGCCGGAGAAGGGCCAAGAGGCAGAAGACAGTTAGCCAACAGACTGAATACCCTCCTCAGGACCTTCATACTTGGTTAATTGGCAATAGGCAGAACGAACAACATCGGGATCACCTAGACCGTACTGTTCACCAGCGAGAACACCGAGCGCTGGACAGGTTCGTCTCTTTGCTATTCTCCCCGGAGATTGAGACCATGAGACCACCAAAGAAATTCATCCCATCAAAGTTCACTTCATACGACGGAAAGTCGGACCCGCTGACACATATTAGCCATTATAGACAAATGATGTCCCTATGGAACCGAGATGAGGCACTGATGTGTAAAGTCTTCCCATCCAGCTTAGGAGAAACTGGACTTCGATGGTTCGATCGTCTCCCCGCTGGATCGATCCATGACTGGAAGCAGCTCTCCGAAGAGTTCCTAGCCAGGTTCGTCTCTAACACTAAGATCCTAAAGGAGCCGGATACACTGTTCGGTCTCCGAAAGGAGCAGGAGGAAACGCTGCGCAATTATGTTAGAAGGTACTGGGAAGAGTACAATGACCTGGAGGAAAATGCGTGCAGCGAGCAGATGGCCGTTATGTCCTTCAAACATGGTCTGCGCCCGGAAAGTAAGCTGAGACAATCACTTACCAAGCGCCCGGCCACAGCTTTGAAAGATTTACGTGCCAGGATTGAGCAGTACGCTCGCCTCGAAGACGATTAGATTCCCATCGAGGTAGGGTCAATAGAACAAATAACTCGGCACAAAAAGAGATCAGATCGAGGAGAACATCGAGGGATTGCAGTGAATGAAGTGGATAAGTCAAATTCGACGAAGCCGTTGTGACTGTATTCAAAGAGCCAATTTATCGAATCCTGGAAAAGATCAAGAGAGAGCCCTTCTTTGTTTGGCTGCAAAAAATGTTAGGAGATCCAGCTCGGCGCAAAAAGAAGCTCAGATGCACCTACCACCAAGACAGGGGGCACATGACTCAAAACTACAGAGCACTGAAGCAACACTTGGAAGATCTAGTGGTAGCCGGACACCTAAGGGATTACATTGATCAGGATAAGGAAGTGGCCGAACTGGGGAACCTGCCACCAGAACCGAATGTTGAGCACCCATCTCGGTTGATAATAAATATGATCCACGGGACAGCGACTCAGGAATCTGATGAGGCACTGAAAGAAAAGATCACTAAGGCTGTGCAAATTTAGAGGGTCATGTCAGTGGAGCCTGCATCAAAAAAGGTACGCACAGTACCTAAATCCCCCTTGTGCATTGTTTCATTTACTAGCAAAGATTTAGAAGGCATACATCACCCACATACTGATGCACTGATTATAACTGTGGGAATTGGGAAACGATTTGACGTAAAATGAGTCCTAGTAGATCAAGGCAGTGCAGCAGATATATTGTATTATGATTTGTTCAGAAAGCTTGATCTCTCCGAGCAGCACCTCACCCCAGCGACAACCCCGTTGGTCGATTTCAATTCACAGCTAGAATGACTGCTTGGCAGAATAGTGTTGCTAGTCATGGCAAGAACAAAAACCCTCCAGATAGAGTTCTTGGTTATTAATACACCATCCCCTTACAACGCCATACTTGGCCGTCCATGGATTCATCAAATGGAGGCAGTCCCTTCAACCTACCACCAGCTCATCCGTTTCCCAACGGAACACGGAATAGAGCAGATCTCAGGGGATTAAGGTGCGTCCAAACATTGCTTCATGGCAGCATTAAAGGCAAAACAGCTCTACAATCGGGTACAGACGGTAGAAGTGGCCGAACAACCAATCTTGGAAGATGTAGGGGGAACCCCAGAGGAAAAGATGGTAGAGGATTTGGAGAAAGTCTTGGTAAAAGAGGATGACCCAGAAAAGTACTTCCTTATCGGTACCTCGCTAGGCGCTGATGAGAAACTTCAGCTGCTGGAACTGCTGAGGGAAAATATGGAGGTATTCGCATGGTCAGCATATGATACTCCAGGGTTGGACCCAGAATTTTCTTGCCACAAGCTCAACATCAACCCTTCAGCTCGGCCCATTATGCAATAAAGTCGGAGATCCTCAGTCGAGCACACCGAAGCAGTAATTGCCGAAGTTGAAAAACTCCTGGCTTCAGAAGCAATCAGGGAAGTTCAGCACCCGTAATGGCTGTCCAACACAGTTGTAGTCAAGAAGAAGAACGAAAAATTGAGAGTTTGCGTTGACTTCACTTTCTTGAACAAAGCTTGCCCTAAAGATAGCTTTCCTCTACCTCGCATTGATCAACTATTAGACTCAACAGTAGGGCATGAGCGCATGAGCTTTCTAGACACTTGTAGCGGTTATCATCAGATACCACTGTTCGGTCCGAATCAAGAAAAGAGAGCATTTATCACTCCGAGAGGAACTTACTGCTACAGAGTAATGCCATTCGGCCTCAAGAACGCTGGGGCGACCTACCAGCGGATGGTCACTCGGATGTTCAAGGACCAACTGGGAAAAACCATGGAAGCTAATATAGATGTGTAGACACCCCATTTTTGACCGCCCTTAAGACTTGGGCACTACTGATGGTTTGCTCGGTGTTGAGAGATGTGCAGGGCAAAGATTCAGTTTCTTCGGCTAGAAGAGAAGAGGCAAATCTTTCAAAACACTTTGTTGGTTTTGGAGTTGAAGAAAAGAGGAAAGGAGAGGAGAAATCTAGTTTGGGTTGTAGTCAAGAAGAAGAACGAAAAATTGAGAGTTTGCGTTGACTTCACTTTCTTGAACAAAGCTTGCCCTAAAGATAGCTTTCCTCTACCTCGCATTGATCAACTATTAGACTCAACAGTAGGGCATGAGCGCATGAGCTTTCTAGACACTTGTAGCGGTTATCATCAGATACCACTGTTCGGTCCGAATCAAGAAAAGAGAGCATTTATCACTCCGAGAGGAACTTACTGCTACAGAGTAATGCCATTCGGCCTCAAGAACGCTGGGGCGACCTACCAGCGGATGGTCACTCGGATGTTCAAGGACCAACTGGGAAAAACCATGGAAGCTAATATAGATGATATGGTAGTCAAGAGCAAGTTCGCTATAGACCATCTTACAGACTTTAGAGAAGTTTTCGGTATCTTAAAAAACCATCAGCTTCGCCTCAATGCCTCGAAATACGCTTTCGGGGTAGGAACAGGGAAGTTCTTAGGATATATGGTCACTCACAGAGGAATTGAGGCGAATTCGGACCAAATAAAAGCAATACAAGATCTTGAAGCACCAACAAAGGCTAAGGAGCTGCAGACA